GGTGTTTGCATGGGTTACGCCTGCCTCTGCTCTGGGGCCGTGCACGCTGTCAAAAGCCTAAAGCTTGAATTCCTCCAGCTCTCGGGGCCAAGAGTAAGGAATTCCAAATTAAACAGATTAGCTGCGAGCTCTGAAACTTCTCCCAGCTGTGCCTATGCCCCAGTGAGTGAGCAATGTAAATATGAGTTCACATTACACTTTGAAGTCAGTGTATATTTTTTGACTGTTACACCAGTTCCTTATTTTTCTAAAAGCAATGAAATGAGTAATGCGGTGGGAGACTTAATCCATGTATATATCCCAAATACAAGTGAAAGCCAAGAAATTCCAATTTCCCGTTAGTTGTGCCTTTTGCTTATGTTTATTTCAGAGGTATAGCTTGGAGAACTTTATTTTTTGTGTGTGTGAGATAAAGCAGAGTTAAATAAAAGTGCAGCCATATGTAGTCTCAAAATAAAATTTGAGGCAAATCAACATAAATCAAGCAGTATTTTACATAGAAGGTATGCTTCAATTTTTTTTGCATAGTTAAGTACTAAAGCGGTGATACAAAGAATATGGCAGTAAAATACAGAGATAAATCTGCCATATTTTACTTGGATATCACAAGGGCTTACAAATGTTTAGGGTATTTTATATACCATATGTGCTTTATTGCTTAAACTGCAGAGAATTTGTACTTTCCTGCGAGACTATTACATTTTATGGCAAAATGCTTGAAGGATTGTCTAGGTATTTGTATGAGAAACAGTAACAGCTCATGTGGTATCGTTATGGGACAGCTTCACCACAGGATGCAGAGTTTTGCATTAAGTTTCTTCATGGCCTATGTGCAAGGGACACCAGCGTTCCTGGAAATATAATTGAGTTGTAGGAGTGTATGGGGTCCAGAGTCTTTCCAGAAGGATGGAAATATAAGGACCAGGTGTTGCCCACAAAGAGAGCCGATCGACTTACTTTGAAGGGATTATTTACTTGTTTTTTTCACAGTGTGTGTAGGTAAATTGGCTTTTGTTGAGCTTGAAGCAATTTCTGAGGTTGATACTTGCCCAATAAGACCTCACCGTGCAATTGGCATGTGTAAGATATGTGCTGAGGTGTTAGAAACAGAATTTATGTAGAGGAGGTATAGCTTAGCAGTTTTGAAGCCATGATGGCCTCTGGAGCTAGAGAGGTAATGAGGGATGTATTTATAAAATTATACTTTTCTGTGTGGTTTGGAATGTGAGTACTGGCTATTAAATGTTCCATTTTTTTCTTTATGCCTTGCAGAAGGGAGGTGTTTCCTTGCCGTTCCCCATTAGCTGACCCCGTGCTCCTCCAATATTTAAAAAAAGGATTTTTGTGTTTAAATCCACAGGGATGTGGTTGAGGGTTTTAGCTGATGCCCTCCCCGGGAGGGAGATGCTCAGTGAGGGGTTCACTCACTGCACTGGTTCAGCTGCTGCTGCTTCCCCACTGTGGAGGAGGTGATGGGAGGCCACCCCACCAGGGCAGTGGGGGGACATTGCTGGGTGGTGACAAGTCATCATCCTCAGGTGGCTGAGGACCACTTTTCTGGTTTAAAATACCAAAGTCAATACTTTGAGTTGCACCTTGGAACAAGTAGGGAGCTGTTATTAGTGTATGACCGTAGGAAGAGGTAACAGCATCCCCCAGGCAAGGCATGAAAGTTGAGCAGTATTTTCGCTGCAGATCTGATTTAGAATCATAGAATGGTTTGGGTTTGAAGGGACCTTCAAGATCATCCAGTTCCAACCCCCTTGCCCTGGGCAGGGACACCTCCCACCAGACCACGTTGCTCCAAGCCCCATCCAGCCTGGCCTTGAACACCTCCAGGGATGGGGCAGCCACAGCTTCTCTGGGCAACCTGTTCCAGTGTCTCACCACCCTCACAGGGAAGAATTTCTTCCTGAGATCTCATCTAAATCCCCCCTCTTTCAGTTTAAACCCACGAGCCCTCATCCTATGGCTCCACTCCCTGATCAAGAGTCCCTCCCCATCTCTCCTGTAGCTTCCTTTAGGTACTGGAAAGGTCTCCCTGGAGCCTTCTCTCCTCCAGGCTGATCAGCCTGTCCTCACAGCAGAGGTGCTCCAGTTCTCTGATAATTTGGGCTTTTCGAAGCAACAAAGGTCCCAGTAATAGCTACAGCCTATAAATTCTCTCAATAATAGATAGGATTTCTCCTCCTTACATGCTTGAGGTATTAAAATGAAGAAATTGAGCTGCAACTACTGTTCATTAAGTGCTGAGGGACTGAGTTAATCTGATAAATGGGAAGATTGTTTTCAGGCAGAAGAGGATGAATTGTGATGAGTTGAAGCTTTCGGGTTCACTGGAACCGATGCATTTAGGATCAACTGTTTCAGTCAGCATTTTTGTTTGCCGTTTCAATATTCTAAAAATGGTATTTCCTGTGGCATATCTGAAAGAGATACCACACGTGCTTGTAATTTAAATGTTATGGGCCGCATAACATATGTGGTAATGGAGATCAATGGCATCTTGTATCGTTTTCCTCTTACCCAAAACATTTGGGTTACGTTTACTTGGGTCCCATGGGAGCTTTTTGAAGTCAAAACACATCTATCCTAAAGCCTGAATTTACTGCCATTTTGAGGAAGAATGTCCTAATTCTTAAGAAGGAATTTGGAGCACTTAGAACAAAACAGAACTTGAGAGAAAAGATTAATTTATTGTGTTGTGCAGATGTAAGAGCATCAGAGAACAAGCTACGTAGAGTAGCATAAGACTATAAATATTTTTTTTCTCTTTTAAATCCTAAATGAATGGTGCTGCCCATAACACATGAGGGGGTGCCTTTCCTTTCATTGGTATGACATTATATGAACAACTTTTAGGGATCCATTTGGATTTCTTTCCTCCATTCTTAATAGTTTTGGGGATCAGTGAGCACAACTGCTATCTATTTGAACACTGACTTCTTGCACGTGTATTTTTGTTAACATCAGTATCATTTCTGTGAGAAAAAACCCACATTTCTGGAAAAGTAATGAAAGGTGAAAGCTACAGCCTCTGACAGGTACGTGAAGGGTATTGTAACTGCAGATGAGAACTCCATCTGCAATAGTGGTTTTCTTCGTAGACATTTATTGACTGAAGTTAAATGTTTGGCAGGTGATTTTCAAACTCTTTGTTTTGTAAAAGAAGAAAAAAACCCCTGCTGAATAATCTGGAACATCACATTTTAAAAAGTGAACAGCAACAGACATTGGGGGGAAAAAAGAAATCAACATCTGGAAATAATAAAGGATACTGAAAAACTTCATTTCTAATGAGAAGGGGAAACAGGCTGCAGAACGTGTTCTTTATGGTAAAGAACATTTGTATTTACTTACAAGCCCATTTTTATGTTTCCTTTTCCACTGGCACATCTCAGTGTTTTCTGATTTGCCCCCATCATTTCCCACGAGCTTCAGGCCGTGTCCCTGCTCTTGGTAAGATGAAGCAAGGTCTGAAAACTTAGGAATTTCCCCATCTAGAATTAATCAATATATACTGCTGAAGGAGCAGTGCCAGCAACCGGAGGGAAAGGAGGAGAAGGGCGTGGCACGGGAGGGAAAAAATGATGACCAAATCAGAGACCAAATAACTGTGATTTTTCTTTCCATTGCTACACTTTATTTTGATGAAGTGATTGTGTGGGTGAGGGACACACTGGTAGCTGTGTGTGTCTGAGCTATGATAGTCATTTGTAACTTGTTTGCTCTTTTTCTCTCTCCCTGGAAGTGGAGAGGAGGGTGCTTATAAAATAACTCGCATAGTGCAAATATTTTTACTGAACAAAAAGGTTGGGAGTTCAAAAAATAATGAAGGACTGGAGTCCTTCTCCATTGCAAGCTCTTGTTTGCTCAGCAGCGGAGCAAGCAGGCTGTTTATGGTACTTTCTTAAAGGCCATAAACTGGCCAGGAAATAATGGGGAAATGGTAAAAACAATGACTCGTAGCGTAAGATTTCACTTGGCTGAACTTTGGCATCTCTAGAAACGAACTGTTCTCCAAGTGCTACAGATAAAGAATGGCTTTTGTGGCTGAGTGATTATATACTGTAGTGCCGTGCAATTAGTAAATGGCCTAACTATGGCTGTCTATGCATGAAGGGGAATAGCTTTAAGTCATCGTTATCTAACTATAATTACAGAGTAATGTATGTGCAGGTGGTTTTGTCTATATGAACTCTGCCTTCCTTGTGCTTTCAGGCAAACGTGAATATGTTCTGACATAAGAAGAATAACTTTTTATCAGATGAACGATGTTGATGTGTGCCCCGTGGTGCTTCATTGTGCTCGATTCTTCCTCAGTCATTAGTGGTTTATTGCTCGCTCCTTCGTCAGTCAGGAGCAGTGGGGAGGAAAATCTTTGGGGGTGACATACAAGGACACAGTAAGCATTTACATTTCAGGGCATGATTTAAAACCATGCAGGCAAGATTAATTATTCACTGGTTGCAGTCTTGCTCTGAGGACATCTAGCCAAGCCCTTGACCAAAGATACTTGATTTGATGAAGGGTAGTTTATTAATTGATTTAAAGACCTGTACTTTCTCCAGGCTGCCAGCCAATTCAGTACTTAGCAGATGTGTATGTTGTTACTTGGCCTTGACTTGTGTTTCACCGGTGTTTTATCTCCTGTGGATGCTTGTAGCCTACCCTTCAACAGGGATGCGTTGCTCGTCCTTAGGGCTAACTTCCTTTTTTACAAGTCTAATGATTTTTCCACCCTGATGGCTGTAGTAGGTGTGCCTTTGCCACGAGCACTGAGTTGCTACAGCTTTTCAACAACAGACAAATAATCACCTCTCACTCTCTTAATTCTGCTTTTATCTGTCTCGGATTATAGATGTAAAACACAGAGGACCCTGGTTTTGTGAACTGCATGCACATTTTGAGCTTTGCATGGTTCGTTTTTTCTAAGGGTTGGGTTTGTTTTGTCTTTCAAGAGAGTTTTATTTCTGCTCACCTGTGTTGTTTCTTCATAGATGGTTTGCGGGTGATACACGTGCAAGTGCCTCAAGTTTCTCCAGCAAGATGTGCTCCACAAATCCAGCAAATTGGGTCACCTTTGATGACGAGCCGCTCTTCCAGTCGCCTCAGAAATTGGTTGATAATCAAAGTAGTTGTAAAGCAAATGGCCTTAAACTCAATCTGTCTAGTGTGCACGAGTCTTCAAGTAGGTCATCTTCTACAGGCAGCACTCCACTCTCATCTCCTGTTGTTGACTTCTACCTAAGTCCTGGACCCCCCAGTAACTCTCCACTCACTACACCTACCAGAGACTACCCGGGAAGTCCATGCATCCCAAAGCCTGGGATTCACGTCCTTTACCCCATCCCTGAATGGCCATCAAACATTAACCTTCCTCCCTCACCTGGGATTTGCTCATCCATTTGCTCCTCACAGAAACCGAGCAGCCTTCCCTTGAACACCTCACTTAATGACCATCCGGTTAAGACTTCGTTCTCCAAGTCGACAGACGAAGGAAGCCCTAATCCACCAGGAAGCTGCGAGGAGTTAGGAGAGTTGTCATCGGCAGCGGGGCACTTCCCCTACTTCCAGAACGACTGTGCTTTTTCTAGTCCCTTTTGGAAGGAAGGATGCTCGCTCAGCACGTCACCGGCTCCTGGTAGCACGGACAGGAAGGACAAAGCACTTGACAGGAGTGCCTGCTATCCTAAAGACAAAGAAACTTGCCATGATCAGAAAAGCCTTAACCAGGGCTCCTTCAGCTACGTCTGCGAGAGGCTTGAGCACCTTCAGGCTGATAGCTGCGACACCCTGGGAAGCCCACCCGTCTCCAGCGCTCATGCATGGCACGCACTCTCCCCTGCCGTCCCACACAGCCTCTTCAGGAGCCAGAAAGCAGATGGGTGGCCCTTCATGCTGAGGATTCCTGAGAAGAAGAATATGATGTCCTCTCGGCAATGGGGCCCCATTTACCTTAGGATCCTAGCCGGAGGGGTATTGCAGATGTATTACGAAAAGGGCCTGGAGAAACCTTTCAAGGAATTCCAGCTGCAGCCACACTGCAGGCTGTCTGAACCCAAATTAGAGAGCTATAACGTCTCAGGAAAAATCCATACCGTGAAGATTGAGTTTGTGTCTTACACAGAGAAGAGGAGGTATCATCCCAAAGTGGAAGTGATCCATGAGGCAGAGGTTGAGCAGATGCTGAAGCTGGGCACCACGGATTATAACGACTTCACCGATTTCCTCGTAACGGTTGAAGAAGAACTTATGAAACTTCCTACCGTTTCTAGACAGAAGAGGAATTATGAAGAGCAAGAAATGACTCTGGAAATAGTGGATAACTTTTGGGGGAAGGTCACTAAGGCAGAAGGAAAACTCGTAGAAAGTGCTGTCATCACGCGCATTCACGGCTTGTGCTTTGTGAACGGAAGCGCCGACTGCTTTCTAACCCTGAACGACCTGGAGCTCCAGAAGAGGGATGAGCGTTACTTTGAGAAGGAGGAGGAGAAGAAATGGATTGACATTCTGGATTGCCATTTCCATAACTGCGTCAGAGCACAGGAATTTGAGCAATCGCGCATTATTAAGTTTACGCCCCCGGATGGCTGTAGGCTGGAACTGATGCGTTTCAGGACACGGTATAATGGGCAAGACCTTCCCTTCTCTTTGAAGGCTGCGGTGGTGGTTCAGGGGGCATACGTTGAACTTCAGGCTTTTATAAACATGTCTTCAACTGCTCCAATCCCAACCCGTTTACCCTCTGTGAAATACTGTGAAAACGTTATGATACGCTTTCCCGTTCCCACGCAGTGGGTCAAAGCACTTTGGACCATGAACCTCCAAAGACAGAAGTCCCTAAAAGCAAAAATGAATAGGAGGGCGTGCCTTGGCTCTTTACACGAGGTCGAATCTGATCCCGTAATACAAGTCTCGGTTGGAACAGCGAAATACGAGAGTGCCTACAGGGCTGTTGTGTGGAAGATAGACAGGCTTCCAGATAAAAACTCAAGTAAATAATTTGTGCTATAAAATTATGGGCTTGGGTGCATGTCTTCACTGTTTTTATGCTTGTGTATCTCCGTCACCTTCCGTAGTTTTAGTTTTTATCTGTGCAGTGGTGTTCATAGAAGTTGGAGTAACCTTTTTCGAAAAAGAAAATAGTCTTTTTTTTTTTTTAAGCACATTTTCATACCTTACTGGATGGAGGCAGATGTGTTATTGCCATGTGGTACTGTGGAAATGAATCTCACCATTCTGAGTAAACCTAAAATCCATAGTAAGAAAGAGGGAAGGGTTTGTGCTTTGCATGTACCAGCTGAGCAGTGGTGGGATGGGAAGCAAACACCAGTAAGTGAACTGATTTCCCCACCCAATGTCCCACATTTAATAGAAAAAAGTAGTATTTTAACTGTTGCGCCTTGGCTTTTCTAGCATCGTTTAAGAAACGGTAAGTATGATACGTAAGTAGAAGGTTTTGTGGACAAACTTGGTGTAGCAAGTTGAGTATTTGAGTGTGCTTTTGCTAAGGCTGTTGCCTGTTACCTCCTTGGTGGTTTTGTGTGTGGAGATTGCATGTCCATGGCAAGAACCGCGCTGATGCCTCCCACTTTATTCCTCCTCCTCCCTGATGTGCGACCTCACTAAAAACTTGCAGTAATAAAACCAGCTTAGTTCGTAGTCATGCATGTGGGAGTTGTAAGTAAAATACTCTACCTTAATTTAATGGTGAAAATATGATTTTTTGGGGGGGGAAAGAAAATATAAATATATGGTTGTAAAACTCCAGTTTTTAGTCATGTTACCAGATTAATAGCCCAAGGTAGTACTTTCCTAAAGGCGTAAACATTCTTGAGGAATACATTATTATTCTTCAAGTTCCGTACAGTGAAGGCATGTGATCCTTTCCTTGGATAAGCATTATGTGTGCATGAGGCTTTGGGGATCTGTGTAAGACAAGGGCATCTGTTAAAGCATTTTGCCTAAAATACCTGTACAATCTGTACTTTTAAGAAAGGGGGAAACATTAAGCGGTGGATTGGCCTTGTCTTGTACTGTCCTAACTGTCTGGACTAACTGCCTCTTTAGAATGTCCAGAAAAGATGTAAGTTTCTTAAGTCTGGTTTCAGGTTTGCTAGAACTAAGCCCGTGTTTTGACAGATAGATGTGTGTGCAGGGGAGAGTTCTCATTCAAAACTATTAAAAACAGGAGTAAAGGCAAAAAAAACCTCCAGAGGATATTTTTTTCTTATTTCTATCTAATTGTAAATTATATTTAATCTGAATCTGTTGTTTAGGCAATTATGCCTTTTTTTTCTTACAGTTTGATATTTGAATACTTCTGCTTGGTTTTTTTGGTGACAGAAGTAACAGATCAACAGAAAAACTGAAAATTGAAATGAAATGAAAAGGGAATATTATCCCGAGTCTCTATATGAACTAGATTGGTTTTGGTATTAAAAGAGCATTTGAAAGCATCCTGTATTGACACGCTGATGTGGCAGTTCTGAGAGTATAAATTATTGCATGGCAGATGAGAGCTAGTATTTTTACTAATGATGCTGCATGGAGATACTGGTGCTTTCTGTGGGTTTTGCTGAGGCCACCTGGAGCGATCGTGCCTTTCGATTTCTGCGGATGCAGACACCACGGGAGGAACAGCACGAATGTTGCTGAGGTCAGATTTAGAAATGATGTCGTGTTAATGCCATCCCTTTTGCTTTGGGAGAAGCTGTGGTTGGCTTGGACCTGTGGCTAATGCCATATGGCTCCTCCTGAGTTGGCTGAGCCCTCCCTTTTCCACGCTGCTTGGTCCCTGGGTATCACAGGCTCTTGCTTGGAGAGGATGCTGGTGGCTGACAGGCAGCGGGGGAGCGGAGGAGACACAGCATCAGCAGACAGACTAACACAAGGCAGGGAGCCAAGCCAGAATTAATGCTGGAGGGGGGAACACAAAGCAGGGAGCCAAGCCAGAATTAATGCTGGAGGGGGGAGAGAAATGCCAGCGAGGGGGAAGATAAGGGCAGACAGTAAATGAGGGGTTGGGGAGACTGAAAAATGGACAGAGAGGGCAAAGGAGTTGATGGAGAGATGTAGGAAAACCAGTGGGCAGAAGAAGATTCTTCAGGTCTTCCAAATCTGTAGACTTGGGTGTCTGGTGCTCCAGGCTTTGAGGCTTTGCACTGTGATGCTGTGACCCGGGTGTTTTCCCAAGGCTTATGGGACTGGCTGTTTGGGTAGTTTTTAATATTCTTTGGTATTTAACGGAGGTTTTGCTTCTGCAAAATCAAGTCAGCAATTTAGTCAGCCAATTTTAAAGAAGATTATAAGTCTTCCAGAGTCTTTAATTCCCTGCAGTTCATTCACCTTAAGATTTGATGTGCACAATTAACTTCAGATTTATATTATTTGAAAGTCAGAACTGGTTTTTGTGGTATTTTACAGCTTTACATTATTTTCTCTCAGTAGCTTAAACTTTTGACATTTGAATAATTCCTCTGGCTGAGATCTGCAAAATCATTTGTATCCTTGAAATGTTCATGCCTTTGAAAAAACATTTTGGTAGTAATACTGCCTGGTCAAATTTTAAACATCTCTATCAAGTTTTCTGCGTGCAGTTAAGAGTTTAAAAATAGAGTTGTCCCAAGGCATGCCAAAAATCTGGAGGCAGTCAAGCTAATAGAAATATGTAAACTTTCATAAGACGTTTACTGCAGGGAGAAAATCACGCCAAGGCTTTTGCTTTCAAAAAGCCTTTGTCCAAGGCTTCTTCAAAAAAGAAGAGAGGGAAAGGTTGCCTACAGTTATACTGTGACTCTGTTTATAGACATTGAAATATGTTAGTATCCACTGGGTTCTACTAAAGTGCTTTGTTGGAAGAGCGCTGGCCAAGCGAAGCTTATGTGAGCTGTGAGATACCCCAGATTTTTAAAAGCTGCCTTTGTTTATTCCAAGATATAAACTGAGAGCTTGGAGCTTGAGTGTTAAGTTAATTTAAAAAAAAAAAAAGGTGAAAAAGCTGTAGACTTTGAAGAGTTGGTCCAATGAAATTTCTGCAAATTGGGTCTATGTTTGCGAAATGGGAGCATCGTATAAGGAAATGTAGAACATTTTATGATTTCAGCATGGTACTGGGGCCAGTCTTTGCACCAGAGAAACTGCACCTGTATTGCCCAGGGAGCTGGGGAGACGCTAGGCTTCGAAACGCTGTGTTTTAATCTCTTGCTGTGTAAGTTTGTGCCCTGTGGTGCTTCCTGTGAGGACACCTCCCTCCGCAGGCTGTTGTCTGAAGCCACAGTTCTTCAGCTGATTATTGCTCCTTCTGCCTCACAGAGCCACGCTGAGGGAGCAATGATTGAGCAAGACAGAGAAATGGGGAGCTCGTGGCTGCTGGCAGCCTTTAGCATCTGAGCATGGACTCAAGTGTGGGAGGTGATGGGGCTCCCAGCAACCTCCAGCTGCTGCTTTTTTGTTTTCTAAGCTGCCTGGGTGGAAACTCCAAGCCATGACTTTCTTAGGTGGGCTCCATCCCTGCCCAGCACCGTTGCAAACTGCTCCTTGGTGGTGGTACCTTCCCACTGCCCTATTTCCTGAGCGTTTATCCTGGAAGGTTGGATAAATGCACCCATTTAGACATAGCTACAGGAACTTGTAACTTCTAACAATCCTAATGTAAATCTGTTCTTAGTAATTGTTGGTGTTTTCATTTTCAAAACAAGGCTTTGAGAACTGGACCTATTTTGGCAAAAATAGAATTACTACTTAACTAAAATAACCAGCCCATTTCTTTGGCTTCATGAGCCTTTCCCAGATCAAGATTGCTTGAAAGCTACTCCTACAGGTGAATAAGGGATAAATAGCGTAAGTCCAGCAAAGTTAGATTGTTTGTGAAGCGCTATGTGAATGCTAAATGCCAGTTAGAATCGAGCTTCATAGTTTTACTGATCTGTTTGTTTGTTTTGGCTTTTTTGTTGTTATTCTTCAGAGAAACAGAGCAAGAATTTGGCACATTTTTAGGAAATAAGAGCCAAATTTTCAGATGTAAAACAAGACAGACTTAGATCTCTGAATTCACAAAAGTCTTAACAGTTTTCCTAGACACCTACACCCCAGGGCTTCTGTCCCCTGAGTTAGCTAGTAAAAAGCTCAGTTATCTTCCCAAATTATTTGCTTGCCTTACACGAGCGATTCGATTCCGTCAGGCCAGATGGGCATGTCTCCACAATGCCTGATGGGCCACATTTTGGATGGCTGGGCTCACATCAGAATATGTCATCTTAGCTTCCACTGGGCAACTGTACAGACTTACAGTGTGCCTGCTTCATCCAGCTTGTCTTTCCACACCACTACCTCTTGTCTCTTCTGTCCAACACCTTGTTTATTCAGTTTCATTACAGGCTTTTTTTTTGCAAAAGGATCTTGTGCCTGCAGCCTCTTTCTTCTTCTAACTCCAGTGTAATACAAGGCTTGGGAAAAGATAGTTTCACGGAGCAGAGATGACAAGGACTGGCCAGTTTTAGGTGAAAACGAAGGCGATCCTCACCGTCTTCCAACATGTTGGTTGATTGCTTCGTTGTCTGACAGTCAATGGGAAGAAGTTGCTCCACACTGCTACTACAGCCCAGCAATGGGCAGAGGAACTCCTCCACAATTGAAGTGGTGAGTAACTTCTTCTGACATTGTCGGTACAGGAGAAAGATGGTCTGTGGGGAACCCTGTGTTTTGGGTCCTGTGGAGGCTGCTCCAGAGGACCCAAAGCAGTAGCCTTATTACCCAGATCCCAAAACTATCATCTTTGCTTTTGCAGGTTACCACCTAGGGAAAAGAAAGGACCCCAGATCTCATCGGAGCCCAGCACTGTGACCACCTCATGGGTGTGGGTTAGCTGGAATATAAGGCCAGAGGCTTTATTTTTAAGTGCTCTCTGGTACTGAACCACAACTGTGCCATGTCTTACACAGCAGCCTCTAGCAGCAGGCCAAGAGGAATGGCCCATTTATGCCTGGGCTCAAG